CCCCCACCCCTCGCACGCATGAGAAATACAGACATTAAAAAGTGAACCTTTTATAACTCATCCACGCTGGCGAGGGTGCGCATCCAAAGCGTGATTATAACCGAGCTTTTTGCTGTCGTGCTTCACTGAAATGTCATCTCTTGTCAGGGAGGGGTCTGTGGGTCGGGGTCGTCTGAGAAGGAAAGAGATGAATGGATGTGTGAACTTTTATTTAAGATTTAAGTTTTTTATTTCAAAGATCCTTATGGCTCAGCAGCAGAAGCATAAATTATGCTGTTAAGAAAGCTAAAGTTTATGTAAAATGTAAGTCTGATGAAGGTAAATTAAATATCTGACAGTGATCATTACACAGTGTGGCTCTAATTCCTCACTTCACCATCTGTGTCGCAGTTTCAGTCTCCAAAACGAGCGTACGCATGGGTCAGAGCTGGCTGAGGGACCGCACATTTTCACGTCAAGTTTGGGTTTTATAAATCACAACCTTTGTGTGAAAAGTGGCATTTCTGGGCTCGTTTTGTGCGTACGCCAGATTTATAAATTTGACCCCTGATCTTTACTATATCCTGATAAGAAATACTCTAGAATTGTAGCAGTTTGTAACCTTTTTGATTTGATTTGATGATGCCTTTATTGTCATTGTACGGAGCACAATGACATTACATTTGTGTGTGTTTTGAAGAGTAATTGAAATTCGTCAAGTTTTATTTCTGTTTTTGTTTCTCTTCCGTGTGTCAGTGTAAAGAGAGGATGCGGCCAGTGAAAGCTGCCCTGAAGCAGCTGGACCGGCCGGAGAAAGGGCTGTCAGAGCGCGAGCAGCTGGAACACACCAGACAATGCCTCATTAACATTGGAGACCACATCACAGAGTGCTTGAAGGAATATTCAAATCCTGACCAGATCAAGCAATGGAGAAAGTTCGTTTACTCATTGTCTTTAGTCATTTTACCTTTTTTATTTCTTTTACCAAATGTTGTCTTTTTAAAGGAAGGATTTCATGTGGTTCAAATGATCTAATAGATTTTTTTTTTTTTTTCAGAAATCTGTGGATATTTGTTTCCAAATTTACAGAGTTTGATGCAAGAAAACTACATAAACTGTATAAGCACGCAATCAAGAAAAGACAAGAAAACGCTCAGGTATTTAGAGACCTTGACATAATTCCTTATCTTACAATCTAGAAAGACTTTAAAATCCACCATGGATCTTTTCACAGGCACTGGAGCAGAACACTAGAAATCTAAACACACAAGGCTACAAACATCTTGGTAGGTGAAACGTTTTGTGCAACAAGAACTAAAGTGAGGAGAAATGCCACTGTTGTTGATGAACACGTGTTGTTTTCTTTGTTCTCAGATGTTGAGAGGTTGAAGGACAGCTCTCACCACGATGACAGCAGCAGAGACAGCTACAGCTCCGACAGGCATCAGCCTTCAGCTCGACACCACGAGAGCAGCAGCGGCAAGGAGAGGCACAGCTTCGAGTCCCACAAGAAGACCTCAGCGGGGGAGTCTAGGAAAAGACCGTACTCCTCCTTCAGCAACGGCAAAGACCACCGAGACAGAGACCACTATAGAGCAGACAACAGGGACAGACAGGACAGGTGAGGTGCTCAGTGGCAGAACCAGACACATCTTATAGGGTGGTCAAACTGGGACCACCAGTCATGAAGGGGTGACCAAGAAATGTCAATTTAGTCGTGTTTGTCTTCCCCTCATATACTTACACAGACAGTGACTACCATGTAGAGTTACATCATGAAGACCTGCATAACCTCATTAAATGAACGATCCAGCTGAGCACTGCTCCAAATCCCCTGAAAGCACAACTCGGCACATATTTACTTCATAATTTATTATTTATTAGGAAACGTTTCAGTTAGTTGTTAAATATTTGCCTTTGATAACTGTTACTTACAAAGATCGAAGCAAACTCACTCAAATGTTTTTTTTTTGCCTATTAACAACGCTGCCTTTTTTTTAGTTTCAGCTTTACTGTCCGTTACAGAAAGTAAGAAGATAATGATGGTCAATAGCTAATCAACAAATACAAAAATGGCTATAATTCAGTTAGTTTCATTAGCTGTGTTTCCATTGACCATGAAAATAGGGTTGAAAATAAATTTGCTCAATGGAAATATGTCAATATCAAAAAAACTTCCTTTTTTTGACAAAATGTTTTTGTGCTAGGATGAGGTGGTTTTTCAGCCGTATCAAAATTAGTTTTTCGCAAAACTGCAATGGAAACACTTTTTTCACATCACGGGAGTCACTTGATCAACAACCGGCTGTTTCTACTGGGGAAAAAGACGACAAAGAAGAAGATAACAGGAAGTAGTGTTAGTAGTAAACTCACCGAATACAATTTCCCAAAAACACAGCATACGTAGCTGCTACCAAGTATAAGAGGCTTGTGGCTGGAAAGCCTCGATAAGACACAGACATCTCTGATGATGAGCTCTAGTATCATGGTAGCAATATGCTTTGTGTTTACATCCATTGCCGCCATGTTTGTAATGACTTATCACGAGAACAAACGTATTCATGCGTGACTTTAATAGCATTTCTTACTTAATGGAAACACTGCAGTTGCGAAACTGTTTTTCGACATTAACAGAATATCGACAAAGTTTTGAGCACTTTTGCAATGGAAACGCAGCTAGTGTTAGATTGGTAATAGCTGAGCATCATCTTCCACACATACTCTGAACACTAACACATTTTACAAATTTTTATCACATAACATCATTCCCATGATTCAACCAATGCAGCTGTATCACTTCTCACCATGAGATGAGCTTTGTTTAAAACCTTCCTCTGTGTTTTTCTCACAGCGCATATTTAAGCAGTTTGGTTAAAGGTTAAATCGACTTTATTTTTGAAAAACGAGCAGAAAAACAGAGTCAAAAGAGGTCCTGTGTTTTGAAATGTATATTTTTGTTCTAATCCTGATGTGTATTGTTGCTCAGTAACACTGCCTCTCGTGTGTCTGTGCAGATATCATGACAGCAAACAGAGGAAAACGGAGGAAAATCGCACCAGCAAAGACCATCGGCTGGAACTTTCCCACCCAGACCACCGCTCGTCCTACCGCTACCACTCGGACTGGCAGGCGGACCTGCGAGTGTCGGGGGGCGGGGCCCGCTCTCCTTGTGACTCTCGCTCTCCAATGGGCTATCACTCGCCGTACGAATACTCGTCGGACCACAGGAGCACGCCAGAGCAGATCTGGAGCAGCCGCAAGACATAGCAGCAGCTGCCTGGGTCTGCTCGCAGCAGCCATAGACTCAGCTACACAGCAAATGCCTTAAACGAACTGTGCACCCCAAACTTCACGCTGTTCGAAAGCACTGTGTGTCAGTCAGTTCAGCATGACTGTTCATTTCTTCACTTCAGCGACAGCATGTGAGGACCCCAGAGACAGAAAAACACTTTACAAAGAAGTAGCTTCAAGCAGGCAGCGAATAGAGAAAAACAATCTAAAATTACATTTGTATTTAAGAATTTAAAATTGTCGGCTCTGAAGCTGGCAACAGATTTTTCTTTCTTTTGTTTTAAATGCAGGGGATGGGGGGGTTTGGACTTCTTTAATGAACACAACAGACCCTGAATGCTGCCCAACCCACGACACTGGAGACTGTCCTCAGTGCTTGTGTTTCTGTCACACCTAATTATGTGTATTTAAACTGTTTACTCAATAAGGACTCGCTCGTCACAGGAGCTGTGAAACACGGTGGTGCGTCTCGTTGACTACAGCGTGGACTCAGGCTCAACACCTGAAGTACCTCATATTCATCAACTGTCATCTCTTTAACAGGTTTTTATTTCCCCCCAGCTCCCACCAGCGAATTATTTAATAACATATCCTAGGTGTAAAAATACATAATCTTGAAATTTTTTCTTATTTTTTATTGTAAAATAGTAAATCAGTGTACTGTTTCCTCAGGCTTTTTGAATTTATGACTATACTTTCCCTATCAACTCAGGCTTTTTTGTCACTATGTGAGTGAATTTCCATTTAATAGTTTTTTTGGTTTCATAATAATGCTCTCAGAATGTAATTTTTAAGGGAAAGTTGTTTTTTTATTTACTTTTTTCACTAGTAATTAGCTCTTCTGTTCAGTGTGTTAAAATCAGTGGCTGGAGTCAGATGTACAGTATGAATATAAAGACAGTTGTCTTTCAGCCGAAGCACCTGATAGAATTAAAATAAACTAAACTCTGCGTTTTTGTTTTTATCTGTTGGTTACTTTTCAGTTTAATTTACATATAGGCAATAATAATGTCAATGTTTCTATGCAGCCAAGTATATTCTTTGTGAACCACCCAACTGAATGAAGTCACTGTTATGGTTCAAACTTGTATATATATTTTTTCTATATTTCCAAATGAATTTACACTGAAAGTGCATGAATTTTTATGAATTGTTTTATAAAGTTCTTTATAAAACTGCTAAAATCAGTCACTGAACTCATTTGTACATTTTTTTTGTCCAACAAAATACAAGAAATCATTTCTAGAGTTCACAGCCAGTGTCTTTCAGAGCAGTTATTTGTCATTTGTTTGTAAATATTTGCACTGATTTGTCTTCAAGAAAACCGATTCCCATCCTCAGGATCACAGAATGATTTCACCTAAAAATGAGTCTGTGTTCGTGATTAAATCCAGTTTAATGCATATAATGTTTTGGACCCACTTAAGTGTTGCAATCTGATTCTTCAAAAAATATTGTTTCCCAGTCTACAATTGG